GTGTGTGTGTGTGAGTGAGACAGTGTAAACCATGTGAGAGAACGAGACTTTAGCAAGGTAATCTGGTTTCCACAGGGTTATTTCCATTTTAGAAAATGGGTTTCATCCGTTTTTAAAGTAATAAGCAGAGTGAGTGCCTAAAATTGTGTTAAATGGGGTACACTTGCTACCCATCTCATCATAATCCAGATGAGAGAATGCTGTGTGGAGAGCTGACACACTCAGTAGAGGTTAACCCATATCCATTGTTACTGAGGGCTGGCACCAAAAAGCCTCCTGAGCAGCAGCTCAGAGGCTGCTGCCAGTTCTCTCACACAGGCACACTGACACTGCGCTCTAAAAGCTGCTCTGAATTTGAACAAATATGAGAGGGGAATATGTTACTTTTTTTCTTTTTTTCATTGTGAAGTTGTGAGAACTCTTACCTGTTCAAAGTTTAAAACAAACTTTCACTTTTTTGTTGCAGATGAGATTGCAGAACTCAAACAGGGGTCTTAAACTGTCCTCCATCCCGCGACATGATGTCAAAAACTATAATACAGTCCAGCCTCACAGATTATTATTTTGTTATATTTTCTCTTAGTAGTTTTATACTCAACTTAAACCTACCCTTCATATAGAATCAATTTGATAAGAAGCAGGTTTCAAGGGCTTACAAAAATGATATGAAATGATGATTCTGTTTGATGTATGATAAGTAAGTCGTGATATTAGTGACTGGGAACACTCAAATTTTGCACTTTCTTGTAGTACTTGAATGTTCAAGTGGCCATCTGATGGGGCAGATCCTACAGAGACACACTGCTAGAAAAGCCTTGCCTGCAAAACCATTGTTTTCCTGCCTGGCGTGCGTTGGTCTCTTGTGCTGCAGGTCGCAGTTTGAGATATGCAGAAGTTAAAATATTTTCAGCTTTTCAGTTCAAGGCACAGAGTCTCACCACTCGACAATGTCAAATTGGCCCAGACAGCCACTCAAAGCAAGTAAGAGGCGGGCTTTACTACTTTACTGCCACTTTCTTCCTGTTTTGATGCCGTTTACTATGCTGGTAAATAAGTTTGCGTGAATCTGCTTTTTTTGCTGTGATAATATGTGATCGCCTGGTTGCGGATGCAGCTCCGCTCCACATGTGCAGCAGCTGCGACGCTATTTGCCAAGGAGTTTTTGAAGCGACTGCACCCATAGCGGTGGCTCTGTGTGATCAGTCCCTATGAGATGGCAGTGGCCCCAAGCCAATTTGAGTTTGAGACTCCTGCGCTAAAATTAAACAAATGAATGTTAAAGCAGTGACAGACATTGCTTTTGGCAGCAAACTGTATGCTGTATGCTTTGGTGATTGAAAGTTGAAAAACCAATATTGCTGTAATTAGCTTTAAATTAAAGAGAGAACCAGAGAGCTGAGAGAACCAAGTCTTTATCACCATTTTTTACTTATTTTCTCTGTCCCATATGTTTCTTTAAACATGTGTGTTACAATATTGTAAATTATTAAACTTGGTCCAACTAACTTTATTGTATTCTCTTGACTTCTGAAACTAAATCTTCAGCCTTGGGAACATCATTTATATGGACTGCGTGGGCACAGACACTGGCTATGCGTCAGTTCCATAGAAATTCAGTCGGACACACAGTTAGTAGAAACACTCAAATAGACACTTGAATACACAAACTGGAGGGTCTCACATCCTCTTATTTCTTATTTGAGGTACAAAGAAACAAATACCAACAAAGTTTGTAGGTAATGATACCAGCAGAGACAACTGTGCCACATTTTGTCATCATTTCAAACAAATCACTTCACAAAACTGCTTCCACGCTCTCCAAAAACAGGAGAAGGAAAGCCATCTTATTCACAGCACCAGAACCAAACGCTGAGTATAATTGGACAAAATACAGTCTGCCTGAGCGGAGCTGACGTGTAGCTATCCAAACAGAGCCTTCTGCTTTAAAAATGACTTTCAACACATAAAAATAGCCTGCCAGAGGAGGCAAATTAGCTGAAGGAGCACACACTGGGTGTTCAAAGGAAAATGAGCTGTTACGCTCATTTGCTAATTTTTCTTTTCCAGGTGATAGCATCATTAGCAAGGAGATGTACTTCATCCAAAAAGCCCTTACAAATGCATCTCAAGTGCTGTGATGTACTAATGCTAATATCCCTGTAAGGCCCTCACTGTCCACATCTCCCTACATTAAGCACCACTTCAATGGCTACTCCGTTAAGCTTTTGACCTTGCAGAACCTGTAATCAAGGAGCCTTATGGGTATTTAATCAACAAACCTATGAGAAAGAGTGAGAGAAGTTTCTGTAGCAGCCCATGAGGATCCTAGAAGGGGGAGGAGTGGAACAGGGAAGCTATGAAGGATCTTTGTGCGTGCTTGGACTGTACTGACTGAGATGTCATGCCAACTCAGAGGCCCCCTCCCCCCCACCACAGTGACAACTCCTTCCATCCTGCAGACGGACGTTAACGGGCTGTTCAAGAGAAAGAAGCACTGCAAAACTGCCAGGCCAGAGTGTCAATCCTTCCACCCTGAAGCACTGTGCCTGACCAGCTGTCCCCAAGTGTTCACTGACATCTTCCAATACTTCACTGAAGACGATGCAATGTTCAGCCTGCCTTCACAAGCGTTATTACTTATTATTATTATTATATCTACTTATTATTATATTTATTAATTATTATTATTATTTTATTATTATCCCCATACAAAAAAAAAAAAAAAAGAAAAAGAACCACAGGACTTAATGATGACTGTCAGCCCTGTCCTGAGGTAATGAAGTAATTTGGGCACCTTGTGCTGTCCCAGGTCAAAGCAATGGTGGAACTTGTGACTACCATCCTAAAGTGGGTAAATAGCCTGCTGCTCACCATTCGACTGCCAGAGCCAGAGCAATATACCATTGCTGACTGTTTTGGAACAGCCCCAGGTCAAAAACTATTGATGTTTAGTAGCCCACTATGTTACTGATCTAAATAAACTATGTATTGTTTATAAATGGGGCAGAAATGTATTACTGCAGGAAATATGTTATTGCCCTAGTTCTGTCTTTACAATCAGGCATGCAGATATTGTAGGTTCAGAATCAGAATTAACAGCTTTTTGATGATTGCGTCATGTTGGATGCCCACTTAAGATTCTGGGAGATTGTGGATTGCAGAAACCTGAAGGACTTAAACCCATGGCCGCTGCGCTGCAGCAAGGACTCAGCCTGGGAAGATGGGGCGCAAGTTCTACCAGGTGAGCTTAAGGGGCCCCAGAGCCACAGTTTTGAGAGTGCTGTTCAACCTCCCGTCTGTATGCAGACTCATCACCATCCCAGCATATGTGGTGTACTATCCGGGATGAGCTCACCAAGCCAGGTTTTGGTGAGGCACAGGGCAGCAGATCTGGAAAAGTCAGTGTTTGCCCTGTTGGTGGTAGAAACCACAGGAATGGCTGCCTACATGGGTCTCATGTTTTAGCCTATAATTTTCTTCATCATCTGTGATGTGAAAACATCAGATTTCCACACTGTCAGAGAAAAAAACAGTGCTTGTCCTGCTAATAGCTCAATTAGAATATCCCAGCACCAATCACAGTGGACAACAGAAGAGGAGGTTGTACCACCATCTTGTTCAAAAGTGGTTTAGCCAACTTCACTGACACTTCACTGGTTTGAAAAGTTTACAGCCTTACCAGACCTCTGTAGCCCGTTGCTCATCTCTGCTGCAGCTCCAGGCTACATTACTAGCATAATACACGCAAATCTCCGATTTAACTGTCAGAGGTCAAGTTGCGTTGCCTGTAATGTAGGCACCAGGTATTGACAAAGAAGAAGAACTTGTTAAACAAAATAATTTTGACCCCTTTTTTAAAACTGTCCATCGTGATTCTGACAGTAGTGTAGGAGTGCAATGCTACATCACTGAGTACCTTTTCAACTGAGTGCATACCTTTTGCTCAGTCTCCAGGAAGCGGGCCAGGTCGTTTGTGTCGAGGTTGTCTTTGTGGTTGCTGTAGGTGAGCATGAGGAGGTACAGATCCCTGCGGGTCGACATCATCTTGTAGAAGGAGCAGAACTCCTCAAAGCCCAACGTCCCCTGGTTGTCATCTGTGTCTGCCTCCTGCACATTGGTTACAAGGAACAGTTTTAGTTTGGTTTATTTTTTCCCAACGTAGCCTTAACTTAACATTCCCACAGTTTTTGACAGATTTTCAACTACTCCGACCTAAAAACATGCAAATGAGTCTTTCAAGGTGGACAGTCTGGCTAGGAACAGCTTTCCTAGCTGACTGGCAAAAGCTGGTCATTACATTATTATTTGGGTCTAAAACTCTTTCCGGTTCCCTCTTTTTCTTCTTTCTGTTCTAGCATCACGATTCATGTGCCTGCCCTGGCATAGCAAGGAAATTCACTCCAACATAACAGTCACTTAGCACTTGAATTCTTAGTTTTTTTTCAAGCCGCCACATTGTCAGTGTTAAATGTATAGTCAAATGTTTCCATGTTTAAAGATCTTTCATGTTGCTTTTGTGATGTTATTTGAAGCAACAGATTGTAGCACTGTGTCAAAGTCAAATCTCCCCCTTACTCATTTTACTAAAGCAACAATAAATAAATGTTTCGTTAAAGGGTGAAAACTTCTGTTAAAAAATAAGTAATGGATTAACATGACTGGGAAGAAAAGTATTTGGTTTTTTTATTTATTAACAAAAAAAAAAAAACTTATATAACTATATATCTATATAACTATATCTATATATAACTTTATATCTATATA